ATCAAGAGAATATTATGGTTGAATTGTAAGTTTGGTTACTCGATTTAGTAATTTATTTTATGTTTGTCACCAAAAAAATTTGCTTTCTTATTTGTAATTTAAATTTTTGTTTCATAGTTGGTCACCCACCATCTAATTTCGTTAAATTTATCTTATTTGACCATTAAATAAGTGACTTGTCAATTAATTAAGGAAGAAGGAAGCAGTTCGCGGGGTAAGGGAAGAGAACTACTGCTCATTCGCTGCAAAATATCTGTAAATAGAGCTCTAGAGGTAGAGTTTGGGAAGAGGAGGTGGGAGGTAAAGGAATGGTCGTTACTCTGCCGACAGAGCAACCCTCTTGACTTAGAACGAGACCACCCTATGAGGGGTAATCAACGCCCAAAACGACGCCCCTGGGCATGTTTTCTCTGTTCTCAGCGCCAATTCTAGTGGGCCTCCAGGTGTATTCATTTCTATCATCAGTAGTTTAGTTAATAATTAATAAATTTGCTTCATTCAAACTTACAATACGGCGGATATAAGTAATAAGTTTGTTTAATTTATACATATGAAATATCTATCCTTCTATAAATCAAAGATTGTAAAATTGCAGGGGCGGTTATATGCTGTGTTGGAATTAAGATTTAATTGTAGTTTAACCATTTTATACTGTTAAAACCGTCTACTCGTTTGGGCTTGTATAGGCGTATTTTCGATATGACCGTCCATACGGTATAATTTTGTAAACATTGCTATATATTTTGCAAAGTGTCTTAACCATTACAATTCATTAGCGCCAGGGAGCGCTAAGATATTAAGAATCCTGATAGATGAGACGTTGAACTATATAAACTTAACTTGTGGCCTATTAACAAGATTTGTCTTAAGACTCAAATTCTTCAAGAAGTATTGTTGAAGTTGAAGGTAAGTGGCTTAAGAATGTGAGTTGGTGCTTATTTTGGTTTAGTTTGCATTTTTTTTTTTTTTGTCTCTCTCGAGGTAACTGGAATTGGGTCGTCCAAGTTACTATCCTCTTGCTTAAGCTAAAGAGAAGCATTATAATATATTCCATTACTTGTGTTCTTTATTTTGTTTCTGTTTAGGTGAAGGTGAACATTGATGAACCTAAAAGATGACACTTCAAACAAGAGCATGATGCTTATGGTGATGGAGAAGAAGCAAGGAGACACAAGCTAACAAATTTAGAGCAAGAGATCTGGAATAACTTATGTGATTATTGGGTAAACTTAAAAGTGAAAATATATTTAAAGTTCAAATAACTATTGAGTAATAAGTAATGGTCCTTCATGACTGGATAGTGTAGCTCATACTAATAACCATGGTTTTATGATGATATTTTAGATACTTTGTGAGAAGAACAAGAAAAAAGGGCCAAAGTGAAAGAATTTGCATTGTAAAGGAAGAAATGCTTTTTCTCTTTCGTATTATCCCAATGTAAATTATGTTTCTTACATTATTGCATGTATATGTGTTATAAGCTAATAAAAAAGTATGACTTATGATGGTGTAATTGTATTACGTATGTGAACGAGGAAGGTAGTGGCATCAACACCAAAATTGACTTCTTCCAATTGACAAGAACCAAGAAGAGAGGGGGAGTGGGTTAATTCATATACCAAAGAAACACATGTCAGTAACTTATATCTAATTCATCAAAATTGAGTTGTATTCAAAGAAATGGCAGTTCTCTGCCATGCTATATAGAACATAGGTGGAATTTTCATGGTAAAAAGTGGGTGATACAATATTGTTATCCTTTTTGGTTTATAGGAAAATATCATTGGAAGGTGGCACTAGCAAGGATATTGATAACATGAAGCCTTTCATGAGACTTTAGGTGATGATCCTAGTTATTATATAGGAGTTGGTTATGGATCACCACGACCGTCTACAAAAGGAAAAGAACATTTGGGTGTTGAAGTTATGAAATTTAGAGAGAACTTGATCAAAACCAAGTCGTGATTGCTCAGCTGATGGAAGAGAACAAGGCGCTTAAGGATCAAATTTAGCAAAACCAAACAGTGACTACTCGATTGCTTGAAGAGAACAAAGAGCCTAAAGATCAACTTGAAGAGAATCGATTTGTGAATAATCAATTGATTGAAGAGAACAAGGAGCTGAAAAATCAACTTCAACAAAATCAAGAAGCTACCGTCAAGAAACAAACAGATTTGGCAAGCATTATGCAAGTGCTGCGAGTCCGGGTCATGACACATTGTAAGTGATCTCAATTCCATTATACTTTACATGTGTGGATATAGAACCTTAGGAAATCATTATTACTATTTTAAGTTTTCAAAGGATTATAGGAAAGTTGTAATATATTTGCATGTGTTAGCCTATTGTTTCAAGGCTCTATAGTCTCCTATCTTTGATATGATTTTGTTGTTTTCTTTAGGTTGACAGCCAGGTTGTTTCTATTATATTGTTCTTTGTCCAATGATGCAAAATAGTGTTCTTTCTCATGCTCAAGATTACTTATGCAGATAATATCTCTTACATGTTAAGTTTCTGGCAAATTGAATGATCATGGAGGAGAAGTTGGGAAGCATTTGGTGAACCACTACACACTTGGTGGATGATATTTTGAGAAGTGCTACAAGCGTGGTGGAGTACATTTTGTGAAGTGCTACAAGTGTAGGTAGCTTAATTAGTGAATAGAATATTTAGAACTTGTCTTCAATCATCTCATTATTGAGAAGACAAACTATGTGAGACATGATTAGTAGATCGTGTTGTATTTGTATATCGTTTCAAATCCTAGGATACTAATGTTTGGAGTATGTTGGAAACTTTCAAGTAATTTAGGTTGTGTTATATATAAGATTTTGTCACCTTATAGTTTGTTCAATACGTGTTTCTACATTCAATAAGCAACAAAACTATCAACATTTTGTACTTCATTTTGGCGGCAATTTAAAAGTAGTTATGAAAATTAGTTGCGACCAGAATCATAACAGTTGGAAAATATATTTTTGGAGACCATTTTTTACACCGCTAACATATTAGAGTCTTCCATCGTTCCTATGTGGATTACCGTCGGTAGCTCATCATCGGCGGCAAGGAGTATTATTGTGACCAAAAATAAGTTGTCGCCAATTTGTTAAACATTTGACGACCAGTACTTCAGTTGCTATGGTAAAAAAAAACTTTAGTCACCAAAGCATCACTTTCAGCGACCAACATAGTTAGTCATAGAAAATGTGTGAAATTCCAACCATTGAAATGGCTGCCAAAACAAACGAACAAGGGCTTGGCCCTAGTGGTAATACTACTGACCTAGAACCTGGAGGTCCCACGTTTGAATCCTTAAGTAGTACCTTAATCACAAAAAAGTAAATCTATATCACTCTTATAAAAAAAATGGTAGCCAAAACAATATGATTCACTACCATTTGTGATGGTCGTTGTAAATAAAGCTTTCGATGATCACTTTTTATGTCGAGGAACATAACATTTTTTGTGACCACTATTTTTGGAGTCGCCTTTACATTAGACGGCGCACTATAGGCTACCACTATTGCAACTCTAAATTTTAGTTGTGAAATTCCTTCGCGACCATTTTATTGTAATTGCGACACCTTTTTGTGGTCATTTTAATCCAACTAGAACTTAGTCATTTTAGAATCCTAATTTCATTAAAATGTCACATTTTAATCCAAAGGAGATTCTTCGTTTAACAAAGATTATGTTTTGCTTTCCACATGTAATTAGAATCCAATCCTATTAGCAAAATCCTAAACCAATCGTGATTTTTAATCTCGCAAATATTTCCTGTTAGAATGTAGAATCTTTTGTATACTTCTTAGAGACAATATTTCTGACAGTGTTTAGTATAGTTGTCATTTTTATTGTGTCTGCGTTAGAATGTAGAATCTTTTGTATACTTCTTAGAAACTTAATAGCATATATTTGTTTAGTTACTTATTCCAATTACGATTACCAATTTAGTATTGATGTAATCGTTTTTTTCATCACCATCATCATTTTCATTGTGAATGTGTTTTCTATGCTACTAAGAGAAAATCTCAACAATGCAATATGACTCAATTTGGTCATTACATATGAATGTTAGGACTAAGACAAAAGTAGAAAAATAATGTGGGAAGTAGTGTAGCAGAACGAGTCATTAAGAAACTGTGAGATAAAATTATATGAGAATAATATTGGGAATAGGATTTCAAGGATAAAATGTGAAAATTAAGAATTTTTTTTATAGAAAGTGGGTCTAGTGCAATTTGGTTAATGAAATTATTCATACTAACTGTTAGGATTGCACAAGGAACATGTTTTGAACACAACAAGCTAATTAAAGTGGTTTTACTACTTTCTGCTAGTTTGTTTTTGGTTGTATTGCCAACTTTACAATAACAAGAGGAGAAGAAAACAAAACTAAACGAGTTGCCTTAGTGCAATCTATAAATTTCTTATATCATGTTGCCAGTGACGTAGAAGGCTAGGGATAATATCTACCAATCCATCATTAACACTGAAGTGAAGAAAGGTAAATTGTTTGACAGATTCTGAGTATAGCCAAAGCATGATCTTACTCATGTTCAGTCTGTCAAACGGCAACCAAGCATCCCTGAAGCATATTTCATTTCCAAATATGCGTGCCCGATTAGCTCACGATAGCCAACAGAGCGAAAAAGCCAAACGCACACTCACATCAGTCACGTAACTCTTTGAATCTTCAAATCCATCATGGCTGCGACTCGCCGTTGAATCTTCCGGCGCCACCGTCGACTCTGGCAACATCTAGATCGAGCAATGCCTTCCGCCAATGCCAAAGCAAACGAGCCCAAGAGATTTGAGATGAGGGATTCAGAACCTAAAAATTCACTTGATTTAACGTTCATTTACGGTTATCTTTCGAAACGAAGAAATCATTCAGTCAATTCCATCGTCAGATTCAAACATTCAAACGAACCCAGACCCACAGTACCAACTACCAAGCAACCCATGCTACATTGATATCTTATCTTTAGCACAAAGGTGGGCCATTTGCACATGTAAGTTGTAAATGAACAAACACCAGGCGAACAAGTTCTGGATTCTGAAATATATCTACAGACAGATATAAGATGGATTGGGGGGCCATCTCAAATCAATAATGGAAATGGAACACAGTTTTAGTCCATAGAGAGACAACATTGAATTGAATCCAACGAGAGATACCAAAAAAAGAATCAGAGATAAGTTCATCATTAATAGCATCTCAAATCACCTCCTCCTAATGGTTATGAGTTATGACCTTTCATCCCCATAACCTCCCTTCTTCCTATCCCCAACTGAATACAAAACAAAATCCCAACCTTACAACTGCTACAGACTCGAATAAACCAACACCATGAGCTCTCACCATAGAACCCCAAGAATAAACCAATTTTCGGAATTCGTCCTCCACACACCCAATCAAAATGAATATGAATTTTTCTTGACAAAATGGAAATTGAAAATTACCCTGTTTGCTAATCGACTGGAGGTCAGTCTATAAACAATGATCTTACCGCACAGGCAAAACCGCTATGAGAGGCAACAACAAGTCAGAGATAGTCAGCACCAAAGTTTGCGCGGTCCGTCAAAATGTAGAGCTACTTTCACTTGCAGATATCGAGGAGCCTTCGGACTTGACAATGTGGTTCAGCTGTCCTCCTTTACTACTGATGTCGAGCCCTTGAAATCGGGCCAGAGAGTCGTTTTGCATAGCATCGGAGAGATGGTGGGAATTTGATTGATGACGTCGCTGAGAAAACGGTGGCAATTGCATGTTAAGATGATCATGCTGTTGTGGCATTGGGAAGAAGTTTGATGGTGTGTAAGACATTTGATGCATTCCCATGTTGAATGATTCAGAGTGACTGATCGCTTCTCCGGTGGCAACTTTTAGCCTCTCAACTTCCTTCTTCAGTGCTTCGTTCAAAGCTGTCAGCCACATACCAAGGAAACAATATGATTACTGCCTTCCCTATAGCTAATAGAAGAACCGATGGAAACAAAGTTATTTAGTTCTGTAACAATAACCACACAACAAGGAACTTACCATCACGCAAGTGAGCCTGTTGTTCCATAGCTTGTAATCGAAGCTTAAGATCTGTGTTTTCTGTACTCAGACCCGACGTGTCCCTCTATGTAAACAATAAAAAAACTTGAAAGTCAATATTGCAGCGAATGCCAAAAGGACTAACATAGCTATGCCATTGCCAGCACACAATGAAGTAGCAATTTCAATAAGTTGAGACAATAACTATTTCATTAGCAACAGCAAAGTACCTCTGATGTTGCATCCTGAATATTTTTAATGCCATACAATATCTATGTTAAGCTTTAATGATGAGTAAAACAAACCTGAAACAGAGTCAGCTGAGCAGAAAGAGTGGTGGCTTCTGTTTGAAGAGTCTGAACTTTGCGTTCGAGTTCTATTATGTAACGTGCCTTTCTCTCTTTTGAGCGAGCAGCAGATTGTCTGTTTGCGAGTATCCTGTTAATGCCAAAGACCAGATTGTTAAGACACGTACAAAAATAAAAACAAAACGTTGGAATCGATATAAATGTTACCATCAAATAACATTTTATCATCCTAACTACGATTTTGGTAGAGAGATGTTGATGTGGATCTGAAATACATAAATTGATAAGCTAAACCCCTATCCTCTAGATCAAATCAGAACATCATGAGAAACAGTTGACTTCAAATGAATCTGAATCAAGGCATAGATCAAGGATATGCAGGCTGCATACGAGACTATCTCTAATGGAACAAGAATTTACATGTCCAGTTAACCTTCGGTACTTACAACTTCATATATCTACTTTAAACAGGGACCTATGCGGTTCTTAACTGTCGCGACTGAGAAGGTACTTTCAACCGTTTTGTCCTACAATCCATGGAAGTTTCTGCTACCAGCTTAAAGGATGAAAGAAATTTCAGGGAAAGCTATTGAGACTCTAGAAGAAATTAAGAAATGAAGCATCATGGGAGAATCTTTGTGAATGAATAAGGTCATCACTGTTCCTGTGGCAGACAGTGAAAAACCAATAGGGAATGCTTTCTCCAGTGATTGTCAATCGATTTCAATACAGTTTTATCGAAAAGAAAAGATATAGTAAGCATGAGGAGCTTCTCACACGTACTTCTCGTTCTAAAAGTATCAAGGCCAATCGGTTTAAGTGCTGTGAAATTTTTGCAAGTCTCAAGTTGGGAACTGATAAGACATGCTCATATGAAACTCTGTAATTTCGAGCAATACCAAATTAAGAAACTTCTCTGCTTTGCAATCAGATAGTCCAATCCTTTTTCTATATATAAAAAAGATAGTGCATCTCTAGAGAGTAACAAGAACATGAGATTCCGAGCTACAGAAATAGATCTAAACCAAAGTTTACAAGCATTATTTCGTTAGTTAGGTGTTGGAAGTAAACTAAATTTGCATTAGCATATCGATATTCAGCCATCAACACCAACATCAGGCAGATTTCAATGTCAGAGGTCGCATTGTTAGAGTAGAGTTTGCTGGTGATGTAACTTGTAAACCAATCAATCTTTAACAAAACACCCAACCCAATCCACTACCAGCTGGGATATAATTGACCTTGTGGACAGATCCCATCACATTCCCACGTCGCCGGTGAAACCAACCAAGTTGTTCGTTGTTCACATGGGAGTGTGACCTGGACGCTGCTAAAACAATAGGTTTCTTAAAAATCAAGCTAAATGCTTAATCTAAGTAGCTCGGGAAATGAGATCATGGCAGAAGAATCGCCATTGTGTCTTAGTTAACTTCCTCCCCAAGCTAAATTGACAAATTTGAAAAAACGGGAAAAATTCAACATCACAGAAGCAATCAAATGTGCATCGAGATCTTCTGGGAATAGCTACAGATCTATTTCCCCACGGGAACCCATAGCAGTAAGAAAGAATGAAATTGGGGAGAAACTGACCTCTTAGCTCGTTTGGGATCGAGGTTCCAGAGCTCAGCCAGCTTATCAGGAGGCATAGCCTTCTTGGCGTCCATTATCTCTCCAAACATACCACTTCCGTCCACTGAATTGCTGTGGCGGTGCTTCGTAATCGGCCTCGTCGAAGCTCCTTTCTCTCCTCCTCCGGCGCCGTTGCTGTGATCCGCACAATTCCCCACTCCGTTGGCACCTCCACCACCACCGCCGCCGCCGGTGAGCTTGTCGACGTCAATGTAGGTGGAGAAGAGGTCGTCCTCGGATCCGATCTCGTCGAGGCTGCAGGTGGAAGATCCGCCGGCACTGCCGATGCCGCCTCCAGCGGGGTTCATTGGATGGGTGGGGGACAGATCCATCATCATCATGGTCATGTCGTCCGGGAAGCGGAAGCTCATCTCGGAGAGAGCCCTCCGGTGGTGAGGCCCGCTCTGGGGAGGAGCAATAGGACGCGCATTGAAGATTGGGGATGAATTGGAGTTGGCCGGCGGCGGCGGAGGAGGATGGTGGTGAGCGTTGGAGGGTGACGGCGGTAGAGTGGGATTGGGTTTGGGAAGTGGATCCGGAGCGTCCATCGTCCAGTGTCGCGTAGCCTGTCTCAGAGAGTCTCGTGGGGGATGTGAGAGAGAAACAGAGGGCGAGTGTTGGGGGAGATGAGAGAGCATGGAATGGAATGGAATGGAGAGGAAAGGGGGAAGAAAGAGAGTGTTTTGTTCTTCACGAGGATCTGCTATTAAATAAATAATTTATTTTATTATTAATGTGTTTTCTCTCCAAAATAGTCCAAATGGATAGCCATTTGCCATTGCTTAAGGACTGTTTTGCTTTAATGTTGTTTGAGAAGGATGAGAGAGCATCTAATTTGATTTGATTCAATGAATGCATTGCACTTAGCACATGATGAGGAATAAGTATATATTCACTTGCTTAAAACTACTCCCTAGATAATGAGAAGGATTAAAAACCAAATAATTAAAATATGGGTGAGGTTTCGGTAAAAAACTCAAGGTTACGTAATCAAATTCTAGACATTGGGAAAAATTCCAAAATACACATGTTTTTTTAAAAAAAAATTCTCAAAATACAAATTCTCGAAGTACACATGTTTGGGCATCAATGTAGACGTCAACCGCAATGAATCATGAATGCATTCACTGCGGCAGACGAAAATGGTGAATGCATCACCGCGGTTAACGGCTGCGGTGAATGCCTAACCTAACACTGAAACTTCAAACAAACGTAACTTTGCGCTTGGTTATCCGATTGTAACGGATTTTTTTGATTCCACGTAAATTTTGAAGATCTTGCAATCTGCAGTTACCACTTCCCAATGTTCATTTTAGGAGAACCCGGTCTCATACTAATCCATCCAAAGCAATCCCCCATGATGATTCACTCTGATTGGTCATTTTTAGTGACTCCTAACAAACAACTATAGTGTTGTGGCCATTAACAATCATGAACATGAATGTAATAGGCGAGCTGAAACTATTATTTGCTCTGACCTTATTTATTATTATTTTTTTACGGGTAACCTGTAATTCAATTAATTTGAGGACAAAATTACATTATCCAGCCGTAGCTTATCGACAAGGAAAGTAGGTGGATTATCAAGCCACACTTCTCTGCTATCCCAGCTAGTCCCGTTATGAGCCATAATATGCGCAGAATTATTCGCCGAGCGCCTTACATGGTTTATACTTCCCCGTGATGGGGTCTGCTCCTGTAGAGGTCGAGAGATCCGCCTGCAGATGACTCCAGTCTCTGACTGCACATCCTGCGCCTGCACTACTTTTTCAACCAACGTCAGGCTGTCAACTTCAAGCGGGAAGCGATGGAAACCCAGCTGGTGCGCTAATTGGGCACCGAACTCTGCCGCCGGCGCTTCTGCCAATTCCACTCTAAAGGAACCTCAAATCTTTTTCGTTGCTGCAGCAAGAAAACGCCCATAATGGTCTCGATAAAATGCTCCCAGGCCTATCCCATCATTAGCCAAAAGGCCGGCATTCGTATTAATCTTGATCCACCCTTCCGCCGGTCTCTCCCATCGTTCCACCTGCGCGTCACCCGATGCTTCTTCCTCATGGCCTTGGTTCTTCCTATAGTCATCATAAATTGAGAGTGCACGCTGCAAAATCTCGTCCTCAGGCCACTTGGGTCCGTTAAATAGCTGTGCATTTCGTTCCTTCCATATCGCCCACAGTACCATAGCCCACGATTCCGCCACGTCCGAGTTCTCATGCTTCATCACTTCCGCCATCCATTTCATGCAGTCCGCCGATCCATGCACAGTAAACACGCTTTCCCACGACAATCCTCTCCATAATCGGCTGCTCCAGCTACACTCGAGGAAGAGATGGTGTTGGGTTTCCTTTTGGTCACGGAACGGACACTCATCACTCCATTGTGGATTCTTTGTTACCACTTTCACTCCTGTTGTGAGAATATCTCTAGAGAACTTCCATAAAAATGACGAATTTTGGGAGGAACTTTCATGGTCCAAATAGCCTTCCAGAATTTCTCATCACCACGCGGGTCAATCCCCTCCTCCTGCATAAAATCCGTTAGCCATTGCTTGTACCCACTCTTCACAGAATAGCGGCCATCATCACTATGACACCAAACAAGGCGATCTTGCTCCTCACTCCCCCGAAGAGGAATGGCCATTAGGGTATGCACAGTCGGGGCGGGAAAACAATTATGAAGCAGATCAAAGTCCCAGGTTTCCGTTGCGGGGTCGATAAGTTCCCGAACTGTTGCGTCCACCGGGAGATGTCTCGGAGCTGAAGGGATGAAAGCTGGTTCTGCAGGGAGCCACTGGTCCCCCCAAATTCGCACTTTGGCACCATTTCCCACACGCCATCGAATGCCGGCACACAGAAAGTCTTGTGCACTGAGCAGGCTTCTCCATATGTAACTTGGTTTACTTCCCAGCCGAGCTTCCAAAATAGAGCAGTTCTTATGGTACTTGGCGGCTATGATCCTGGCAATGAGGGATGTCGGCCGCTGGTGCAGGGACCAAAACTGTTTCGTGAGAAGGGCTTTGTTGAAACCTCTAAGGTCGCCAAAACCCATCCCGCCATCCTCTTTCATAGTAACCAGCTCCTCACGTCGAAGCCAATGTGATCGCCTCTCCGCATTCTTCTGTCCCCACCAAAAACTAGTGATCATACTGCGGATCTCGTCAATAATTCCATCCGATATCTTGAACACCGTCATGGCGTAGTTAAGCTGTGCTTGGGCAACTGACTTGATGAGAATTTCCCGAGCTGCTACTGACACAGTTTTTTCCTTCCATCCTTTCAGCTTCTGCCTTACCCGTTCTTTCAAACCCACAAAGAGGTCCTTTTTGGCTCGTCCCACCTTCGTGACCAGCCCCAGATATTTCTGGTGCTTGTCCACTAGCCGCATCTGGAGGGTTCCGCTGGTGATGAACTTGCTGTGAGGCTTCACATTCGCCGAGAAGGAGACTTCCGACTTCTGGAAGTTGACCATCTGTCCGAACTCGAGCTCGTAAGCATGAAGTATATCTTTTAGCGCCAGACATTCCTCCTGAGTAGCCCTGGAAAAAAAGATACTATCGTCAATGAAAAAAAGATGGGTAATCACCGGGGCTCCCCGATTCACCTGCAACCCATGTAGCCGTTTTTCCTCCACCGCCTTAACTGTATAGGCTGACAATCCCTCCGCACAAAGCAGGAAGAGATAAGGTGATAACGGATCGCCCTGCCGTATCCCTCTGCTCGGAGTGAAGGTTTGGGAACGATGACCATTCACCAGAACAAAGTACGACACGGTAGTAACGCCCATCATAACAAGCTGTATTCACCGTTCGGCAAACCCCATTCTTCGCATAACACCTTCGAGAAAATGCCATTCCACCCTGTCATACGCCTTCGCCATGTCAATTTTAGCGGCAAAGTAGCCATGTTTCCAACGTTTACTCCCTTTCATAGTGTGAAAACACTCGAACGCTGCCATGATATTGTCTGTGATGAAATGCCCAGGGATAAAAGCACTCTGAGATGGTGATATGATCTTATCCAACAGCGGTTTAAGACGATTGGCTAAAACCTTCGACACAATTTTGTAAAGAACATTGCAGAGACTAATCGGTCGAAAGTCTTTCGGAGAAACTGGCTGTTCGGTTTTGGGGATGGGCGTGATCAGTGTATGGTTAAGTCCCTCTGCCATCACACTAGTATCCAAGATTTGCAGAACTGCTCCAGTAACCTCGTCACCCACAATAGACCAGTATTTCTTGAAGAAGAAAGTAGAAAGCCCCTCCGATCCTGGTGCCTTACGGCCACCCATTTTCTTCAATGCCGGCCACACTTCCTCCTTCGTGAACGGCCGCATCAACTCCTCATTGTCTTCCTCCTGTAGCTTGCAGGGGATCAAATCCAGAACCGGCCAGCTGTCGGGCGCTGGACCAACAGTAAAAAAGGTCTGGTAGTAGTCTACCATGCACGCGGACACTTCATTCTGTCCCACAAACCATCGCTCTGCCTCATTCCTAATCTTTCTGATCATGTTTCTTTTCTGGCGAGCTGGTGCTTTGCAATGAAAGAAATTAGTATTCTTATCCCCTGATCTCAACCAATCTGCTCGGGATCTTTGTTTCCAGTATTTTTCTTCGCTATCAAGCACATCTGCCATTTCATCTTCCAACAGCCGAAGCTGAGCCAGCACCTCAGTCGTCTTCTCGCGTCTCTCAAGTGCTTTTATTGCCCGGCTAATCCTCTTCTTTTGCTTTCCAAAAGCTGGGAAAGCCTGTCGACTCCAGCAATCCAGTTCTTTCCGGCATTGCTCAAACTTGTCTAGAATATTTATCTGCGGGAACTTCTTCCATGCACGATCGATCACCTCAACACATTCCTCATGTTTTGTCCATAGTGGGTCAAAACGAAAGGACCAGCCCCACCTGATGTCCTCGTCCTCCTCCCCTCGCGTTTCGCAGAGGATGGGTCGGTGGTCCGAGTGTGTCCGTTCCCCATGCTGAACCCTTCCATTAGGAAACCTCTCTCTCCATTTCTCATTTGCTACAAATCTATCCAGTCGTTCTTCAATGTAACCTCCTCCCGTTCGTCTGTTCTCCCAAGTGAACGGGTATCCGACAAAACCCAGATCATGGCAGCCTATATCGATGAGACAGTCACTAAAATGACTCATCTCCACCTCCTAGACGCCTCGGCCCCCGCTTTTTTCTGTTGTCGACAGGACTTGGTTGAAGTCTCCCCCACACAACCACGGTCCATCCCATTGGGTACTCAATAATCTCATGATGTCCCACGTGCGCCACTTGTCGCTCCCGTCCGGCCATCCATAGAGGCCAGTGAAGCGCCATTTACCCACCACTTCCTCTCCAATAGCCGTATCAATAAAATGAAGGTCTAGGTCCATCACTGTGAAGCTAACTTCCTCCTTCCACCATACACTAATACCACCGGCCCGACTTCTAGCTGAGATCACCGCCGAGTGGCTTTCACCATTCACATACCCACAAATTCCACGTAACGTCGCGTTCTCCGCACACGTTTGCTTTGTTTCCATAAAAAAACACTACATCCGGGGATGATCGGGCCAAAAGCGCTTTAAGAGCATTAACTGACCGTGTATTCCCCAGCCCGCGGCAGTTATAGCTCAGTAGCTTCATTTATAACCGGAAGGGGATGGGCTCCCGTGCCATTTTTCGTGTCTCTGTTGGGCTTTGACGTCCCACTTTGGTGCTCCTTGTCCGTAGCGATGATCATCTTTTTGGATTGGTTTTGTTTCTTGGTTTTGTCTCCATCATTCCGTCGTTCCAGAGGATCCTTGTGTTGTTACCCTCCTTTCTTTAAATTGTCTTTTGTGTTCAAAGCCTGGGTTGCACCGCCCTCCCTATGCTCATTACTCCTGCCACGAACCATGGTGCTTTGCTCTGCTCTCGCGGGCAGTTCAGCTGGATTCACCACAAGGTTGGCGCTCCCATTTTGTGTCTCTGGCGGATTGATGGGAATCTCTTCAAACCCCGTCTCCCCTGCACTCCCTTTATCATTCCTTTCTTCCTCAGTTTCTTGGGCGGCATGGCCCGTTTTGTTTGGATCATTCACGGGGTTGTCATCTTCTTCCATGAGTACATCAAACCGTGAGCCCGTATCATGTTTAGGGGCCGCTTTTGTGATATTCTCTTGCCTCCCCTCGGCGGCCTTGTCTAGGGCCTCCTTCCTATTCCTTGCCCCTCTGCCACGGGGCATGGCCATCATCCATTCACCATAGGTACTGGCCTCGGTAACATTATTCTCCTCTCGCATTGTCGTCGTCGGTGGATCGGGCTTCTTAAACAGAAGAGGGCAAGTGACTTTTGCGTGTCCATATTTGCCGCATTCTGTGCAAATGAGATGCAAGCCTTCATATTCCACATAATATGTTATCCCTTCAATCTTGAACTTGGACAGGAGCGGCTTTGTTAAGTCTACTTCGATGCTAACTCGAGCATATTTTCCTCGGTCCCCTGACTGAGTCGCGTGGTCTACGCGGATAGGCTTCCCAATCTTCTCCGCGATGCGTTCTACTGCTTCTTTATTAATAAATTCCCTGGGGAGACCCGGGAATCAAGCCCATACCATAGTCGACGCCACCTCCGCATGTTTTGGATTAAAATTTCGTCGCCAAGGACGAACCGTGATATAGAAGTCACTGATCATCCACAGGCCGCCCGCAGCAGCTTGCTCATAGTCGAATTGGCTTGTAAACCGTACCACGTAGAATCCAAAGGACAGGCTCGAAACCTGGATAGTGCCGCACTTTGCCCAGAGGGCTTCCAATCGTCGCGAGATAACAGGGAAAGGGAAGGTACGACCAAGGACTTTGACAATTAGGGCAGACCTCCACTATCTTCTCCAACGTTGTTTTTCTAGCGCCGTGTAGGCAATGGTGGGACACAGCGGGTCATCATCTTCGGGAACCTCATCGTCTAGGTCATCTTCTCTCATAGCAGCTGCAACGTCCTCGGAGTCGGAGTCTGCCACGTACCATTCGTCTACTTGGTGCAGGTTTGTGAAGAGTTTACTAGAGCCACCACTCCATGTCGATTCCCTGTTCCACTTTGCCTGGTCTGATTCTACGTCCTCCATGGGAATGGGAGCAGGTGCCGTTTGAGCTTCCTCAACAAAGAGGGGTTGGACTTCATTGGCTTCGCCTTCTTCTTTGGTTGTTGGGTCTCACGATCCCTTTTCGAGTCTGGAGATGATGTAACAGACGGCGGGCGTCGACCACCCGCACTGGGTTCTAGATGTGTCGTGCCAGGGGGAGCTCCCCCCGGCACCGACTCGGCCATGGCAGATGCCGTGCTCAGAATTTCACAGGGTTGGAAAGATTCGCCGCTCCGAGAAGCTCAGAGCTAGGGTTTCTTGTTCCTTCGTTTTTTGACTGATGGATTCTAACAGCATCTCTGCCCTTATTGAAAAAGAATCGAAGGCACTGTTGGAGGACTAAAATTAGATAAAAAAAAATATGGATATGAGTGCATTGTCCAATCAGATTGTTAGGTTCTAGTTCGAGCTTTGTTGGGTAATTCGTTTTGAAGGCCATGGTGATGTAAGGTGTGGATAAGCTTGATGGTTCAATTCTCAATTCGAACCCTCATATCAAAGTACAAAAAGTGTCTCTAAGAAATAATGTTATGACTGGTTGGGGTGCTCATTCACTTGCTAGGTCTACTCTTCTGGATAACTGTATCAATCTCCTAGATCTCATTCGAAAGTGTTATAATTTGTGATCTTATATACTTTTCAATAGTGGAATAAAAATTACAATAATTTTTTTTTGCATAAAAGGAAGTTTTATTTTTTTTCTTTGATTTAGCCTATTAAGAAGAAAATTGGTGGACCTTTTTTCTCTAAAATTAGATGTGGCATATAATTTATTTTTGGTGTGAGATGTGGCGAATTATGACCCAACCCAAACTCGTCCGAGAAATTAAAATTGGGTTGAAGTTGTTATAATCCAAACGATCCCAACCCGATTAACCCGCACATTTTTGGGTTGGGTTGGGTGGGTTAGCGGGTTGATCCATTTAACCCATTCCATATCATATAACACTCACTCATAAATTGGTGAGATGCTTAACAAAATTCACAAGGATATGAAAGATAAGTTTGGAGACGTAGGGATAATCAAATATCACGTGCTTCTTGTAGTAGTATCATTACTCTCATTATATTTTTTTGGTGATTTGTGCAATTTGTATTTCTTTTCATTAGCATGCGAAGATTTGAGAATCTGTGAATTGACATCTGTCAGGAAAACTAGACATACATATATGGAAACTTGTGTTGTTTAAAAAAAGGGTTAATACTTTATTTTGGCCCGAACTATGACCATATAATCAACTTTGACCCGTGGTTTCAGAAATTAACATCCTGGCCTCAACTATGCAGCATATAGACTCAATTGGCCCCACACATAGTTTGACCGTCAATTTGGACGGTCAACTCCGTTGACCGTTAGTCAACATGCCATGCCATTGTCTAGTCAGCCTAAAAATAATTAAAAAAATTTAAATTCAAATTATTTTTCTAATTTCTATTATTTATCATTTTCCAATTAACCAAAAAATAAAATTCTAGAAATATAAAATAATTTTTTGTGATATTTGAAAATGATAAATTTTATAAATTAACCAAAAATTATCAAAATACATTTTATAATTTTAAAAATTATGATATAAATTATATTTTTGTGGGAAATTTTAAAAATATAAAATAATTTGATAATTTTCGGTTAATTTATAAAATTTATCATTTTTCAAATTATCCAAAAAATAAAAATCAAATTTATTTTATGTTTTTTATAATTTATTTTTGGTTAATTTGATAATAAATAAGAAAAATTAAAAAATAATTTGAAATTTGCATTTTTTAATGATTTTTAGGCTGACTAGGCAATGACATGGCGTGTTGACTAATGATCAACGGAGTTGACCATCCAAATTGACGGTCAAACTATGTGTCGGGCTAATTGAGTCTATATGCTGCATAGTTGAGGCCAGGATGTTAATTTCTGAAACCACGGGCCAAAGTTGATTATATGGTAATAGTTGGGGCCAAAATAAGGTATTAACCCTTAAAAAAAATATAAAGCCAATTTATTCTTATTTCTTAAAACACTCGTAACTCGAAATTAGCCAAACAAAACATGAAATAACCCATGATAATCTGTAATCCGAGATCTCCAACCTCAAATTATCCAATATGATCCGATAATCAGGTCTATGACTAAAATTGTACGGAACCTAATTTCCGTCCGGGGGGGGGGGGGGGGGGGGGAATATTGTTTGATGAATGAAGTGAAAAATTAATTCCAAAAGAACATAGGGAAAACATAGAATTATACAGATGAAATGAACTGACTGCACACTTGCGGTAAATTGAAATTACTTCAACTTAATTACACCGATAAACTTTCAAAAAAAACAAAGAACATATTACGCTGATCAGAGTATAAAGGTAAAAAATAAAAACAGTAAACTCGCTAATCACAATTGGCACTCTCCACATAACAAAAAATGGTAGAATAATCTCGCGCTCAAGAACACGAGTATTCCAAAATCCAAACAAAGGGATCCAACCACTTTGAAGCACACATCAAGCTGCGGCGTTGACGGCGGTGCAAACCCGCCGGACTTCTCCCCGAGAGCCCGTCAACGGCTCGATGTCGCCCATCCTGACCATGGCGGCAGCGAAGTCGGAGCTGAAAGCGGCGGGGTCCCTGCTGTACTCATCCACGATACCGTCGGTGGACCCGCCGCTGAACAACACCTGGTCGGACTGAAGCAGGCCCCTCCTCTCCACCAGATTCCTGAAATAGTTGTTGTCAAACGAGTTGGGCGTCACCAAGTCCAGCGGCGCGAGATTGTCGTTGCCGTTGCCGGCGGCCGAGGGGCACTGCTGCCTCCTCGTGGCGGCAAAGTCGGCGTCGATGTCGGAGGCGTTGTTGTGAATCCTGCCGCGGAACGTGGCGCACCTGGCCTGGCCGATGGTGTGGGACCCAGAGAGGGCCACCATGTCCCTGGCGCTCAGCCCTTTGGTGTCGAACCGCTCGACGAGCCTGTCGAGCGGGTCGTTGAACCCTGGGAGGTCGGATTCGGCGGCGGCTCTGCTGGCGTCGGTCGAATCCCTCCTCCCCAGGTTGACCGTCCACGTGGGACCATTTACTGCTTCGGACGCGTCGCGGGCTGCCACGGCGACGATGTCGGCGCAGGAGACGACCCCCGGGCACTGGCTCTCGAGCTGCGACTTGACGCCGTCGATGACTTCGTAGCCGCGGACGGAGTTGGCGTTGGGACGGGCGGTTCGCTCGCCGGTGAAGGAAGGTGTGTCGTCGAGGAGGATGGAGGCGTCGCAGCCCTGGACGAAGCAGTCGTGGAAGTGGAGGCGGATTAAGGAGGCGGCCATCCGCTGCTCGGTTCGGACGGCGGCCTGGATGCCGGAGCGGATGGTGGTGAGTGCGTTGGGGCAGGACGAGTCGTAGAAGTTACTCGACAGCTGGGCTTCCGCTGGGGAAGTGAAGAGCAGGAGAGACGCGAGCAGCATCGTCGTGGTAAAAGCAAAAGGCAACTGTCGGCGGCTAGTTAAACGAGACGCCATTTTACCTTTCGGGAAGAGAAATCTGCCGTACAAAGGTTGTTAGAGAGGATTGGAAGTCTTGTAAATGATTGGAGAAAGAAATGAATGATTATGGATTGACAAAATGTGTGTGGTATTTATACGTAAGGGGTGGACTTTGCATGCAGATTGGGGGGCTGATGACTGCTTGGAAAAAGTAAAAGTTGGAGGTTTTCTTGTCTTTGACCGATAGGCGTAGACCCGCGTACGTGGAACTTTCTCCGGCAGCGAACTAGCTAGCGAGCCTGGAAGCTGCTAGTGGCTATATAGTGGAATTAATCAACACCTTAATACTAAGTCATTAACAGGTTGATCTTGCGACTTTTGTTCCCGAGAGGCAATTAACTAATTATTGTAACCCTTCTTGTTCTCGGCCTAATATTAACTTCATTAGAGTCCAAATGAAGAGACCTTGTAAGTAGCTACAGTAGAAGAAAATACAAAAAATTGTTGACGAATGATTAATGATATGCATTTTACGGAATAAGTAATAACCAAAACATTATTCCTATCACAAATGATTGTTGTCTTTTGAAATATTTAAACTTTTTAAATGATGATTATCCCAATAATAGGTATTGGTTTAGAGTGCTAGCATATTAAATCTGTTAGCTAGTTTCAGCAACATTTTAATTTGATGATTTTTTTTAATTTCTTTCAAGTGGTTGACAACAATTAATGTGGGCTTATGGAGAGAAGAACACGTTTGTCATTATTAAAAATTATAGGAGACACATGCCTGTGATAGAATACATTAATTTCGCCTCATCACAAGTATCAAGAAACATATCATAAAACGAAGACTAGAAGTACAACAAACCTTTATAAATAAATAAAACGTACAACGAACCACACCACAAATACAAAAAAAAATTAACAGAAAGCTTATATAGCATACTGTAACCTCACCACACCATGAAATTCTAACGCATACAAAAAAACTCATGAAGCATATTGGAACCTTATCATGCCACAAATTTCATAAACTACACAACAAATAGTAGAAAACATAAATAAGTTTATTAAGGCACATCACAAGTTTATTGAAATATACCATAAACTTCATAAAACATACAAGTTTATTAAATCATACCACAAGTTCCTTTTTTTTTTTTTTTTTTGCAGCAGGGGAGGCCTAATAGCCGAAGAAAGAGAAGGGATTACAAGGAGAGGAAAAGGGAGGCAGCTTTACAGCAAGGGGTGAGACCTAGGGGGTTCAACAACGTTCCTGGGGAAAGATTGTCCCCTGATATCATCACCAATGATGGCATGAAGTGCTTCAGGAGGCGTGTCTAAATCATATTTACCATAGGGATAGACAAGACTGTGCTTCGAGAGCCAGTCCGCGACTCTATTCCCTTCCCGGTAAGTATGACAAAGACGCACCACCCAATCTTGGGCAAGTCTCCGTCTGATTGCCGTCAAGAGAGTCGCGAGAGGATGAAGGGGATCAGTCCTCTTCTCAATGAGTTGTAGAGCAAGTTGGGAATCCGTCTCAACAATCAGAGTTCTGCTGCCGCTCTGCCAAGCCAAACCGAGTCCATGGTAAATCCCCCAGAGCTCTGCTTGAATCGTCGAGCAAGTCCCCAAATTGACAACGAAGCCTCGATCCCATCTCCCCTGATTATCTCTCAAGATACCACCAGCTCCCGCAGGACCATGAACACCATTAGCAGCCCCATCCACATTAAGCTTGTTCCAGCCCAACGGGGGAGGGATCCAGCTGATATCCTTGGTCACACGCTGAGCCGGAGTGGGTCTGCGTCCCAAGTTGTCCCTCGGCGCCATCCACGCCTTGTACCAAAGGCTGGCCTTGATCCTTATAGCTTGCACAAGAGATGATGGCGACAGAGTCTTCTCAGCCCCTCTGAAAGCGCCTTCATTCCTATTTTTCCAAAGATTCCAGATGGCAATACTGAAAAGGCATTCCAAGGGGTATCCTCCACATACCTATCGGTTTTCTGCAGATTGGTGGCGAGCCATTGGTCCAAATGCATACTGAAGAAAACATGTTGTTGATCTACTGGAACTGTGCGGGCCCAGACAAAGCCGGCTGGGGGACAATCTCTGAGAATATGCAAAGTAGATTCCACCTGAGTCTCGCACCTGTAGCAGGAAGAAGTGGCTGAAAGGTTTCGCTTAGCTCGCTGCTCATTAGAGCTGATCATGTTGTGGGCGACAAGCCACATAAAACAGCGAACCCGCTCCGGAACCTCCAGCTTCCAAATCTCCTTCCAAACTTTGGACTGCTCGCTGGGAATCTCTGCTTGAAGGAGGTGGAAGGCACTCTTCATTGAAAAACGACCATCTGAGGTGGGATGCCAAAACAGAGTGTCATCATTTGGCGCCAGCGGGTCCACAGCAACAGCTGTAATGCGGTGTATAATCTCGGCCGGGAGAATATTGCTGAACTTCTCGGTACACCAAGTTCCTTCCTCGTCCACGAAAGCAGAAATCGTGGCATTCCTATCCTCCTTCGGAATCGAACCAGTGGCTATCTCCTCCAAGGGTACCTGATCAATCCAAATATCATACCAGAAACGGGTCAGAGTTCCTTTATGAATATTCCAAGCACAACCGCTTTTCAGCAAGCTTCCAGTTTTGGAGATACTGTTCCAGGTGAAGGAACTTCCCTTTATTGGTTTGATAAGATCCAGGTGAGCCCTATCTTTCCCATACTTGTCCCTCATCAGTTGAGCCCATAGAGTCTGTTTTTCGGTCATGAGGCGCCATCCACACTTGGCCAGCATAGCTGACTCACTCCTACTGTCACTCTAGAAATTGGCCAAGTGTAACCACTTCCTAAAGCGTAGTATAGCGGGTTTGGGTTTTAATGTCAACCCGGGTCCTAGATGTGATTACTACTCAGTGAATTCTTATTATCTAGCAGTGAAACTTTAGTGCAGGTCCAAATTAACAAACAAACAAAGCAAGTTTAACGGTTGTTTTCAAGTCGAGAGAGGTCACCCGGATATGGTTCCCCCTAGACTGCAGTTAAGCCGGATTGCAATTTACCAAGTTCAGTTTCTATGATAGTTATACTGCGGGAGGTTCTTAAACAGTCTGAAGTCTCGACTAAAGGTCTTCAGACCCTCTCAATCTGAGTCCCCAGCGGGCGACTAACCTCCACCGGAGTAAACAGATTGAGGCCCTAACGAACCAAACCTCCACTACCGAAGTAAATTCGGTGCAGAATAGTGAATTGGCTCCTCGACTAAAGTCGCCAATTCACTACCTTCAATTAAGGGTGCTCTATTAATCCTAGGCAGATATTCTCTTTCTACGTTAAAGCAGAAACAACAGGAATTTGATCAGGATTTATGTCATTCAAATAATCAAACCTCAATTGAATATAATCAGATCATAAAATCTGTACTTGGGTTCATACAATCAGACCTAACATACAAATCTAGGGTTCTCCATACCCAGATGAATGGGAAAACTACTCTATGGAGAGAGAAGCAAAAGCAGATTCAGATGCGGAAATCATACCGTGAAGGATGAGTTTCTGCTCCTGGTCGTCAATCGGCACTTCTCCAAGCTCAAGCCGGGCTCCAATGGTGATGAAGATCAAGCTAGGGCACTTGGGAACTCTGGTTCGTCGCTTTCTCTCTCTAGGAATCGCTCTGTCTCTCTAAAACTCGGAACTCTTGATTTTTGGCCTTCTTTTCCCTTAAAAAGTTGCATGTCGCGATACCCGGTCGAAATACCTGGTCGGGTATTTTGGGTCTCGACCGGGTATAATCAAAACGCGCGTTTAGGAGCAGAGGGAAATTCCCGGTCTGGCCTAAGAATCCCCGACCGGGGATTTTAGCTTCCTGCCCGGGCCCCCTTCTGTTTCTCGGCGACGCCAAATCGATAAATACCCGGTCTGCTCCAATTAATACCGGGTCGGGTATTTGAGCCCATGACCGGGTATTTTCCTCCTGCAGCACACTTCGACCCAACTTCGTTCCTTTCGACCCGAAACTCGTTTCTTTGCCTCGATTCCAACGCCGAGCCCTGAAATATGACATAAACGCACAACCTCACATGAAATCGACTTAAAACACGAGAATCAACCTCTCAAACGGCTCAAGAATAGGGGTAAAAACAGGTGTGATTATTGGTCTATCAATAGCCATGTTGACTTCTCTGGCGAGGCGGATCCCAAGACCTCCCTTGTCTTTTGGTTGGATAAAATGGGCCCATCCGACAAGATGCAGCTTCTTCTTCTCGTCCGAGTCTCCCCATAAGAAACCACGGTTGATTTGGTCAAGGGTCCTGCAAACAGTCTTCGGAAGGAGCTCCACCTGCATGGGATAAATGGGAATAGAGGAAGTTACCGCTTTAACAAGAGTGATACGAGCAGCAATGGATAGGTGCTTAGCTTTCCATGGAGCTAGCTTTCTTTGAATCTTGATAATAAGGTCCTGATATCTGCCCCGCGTGACACGCTCATGGATGGCCATGACCCCCAAATATCTTCCCAGATCCACTGTGAGGGGGATCTCCATCCACTCACTGAGGGCCCTAGCACGGCGTCTAGGGATGTTGGCGGAGACGAACATGACGGATTTGTGGTAGTTCACTCTTTGACCCGAGCTGCTGCAGAACTCATCAAGGCATTGTTTTATGATTCTTATTTGAGAAGCGTCTGATTCTGCAAACAGAACTAGATCATCAGCAAAGAACAGATGAGAAAGGGTTGGGCCATCCGTGGAAAGTTTGAGAGGTTTCCACTGCTTCTCTTGGATAGCCCGATCAATCCTGTGAGAAAGTCTCTCCATACACAAAACAATGAGATAGGGGGAGAGGGGATCTCCCTGTCGGACTCCCCTAGTCGGAGTGATGGTTTGAGAGAGATCTCCATTCCACAGCAACCTCATATTGTTGTTTTCCACGCAGTGCATAATGCAACTAATCCAGGAACTGGGCAGACCGATTTC